GACAGAAGAAAGAGTCGGTTGCACGAGAGCTCTTGGTTAAAGTGGACTTTTCTATGACATCAGTTATTAATGCAGTAGAGGGTATGAATCCATGTCTGTGTATGTGCAAGGGCAAGGGCATGGGCAAAAAAAAAAAAAGGGGGGGGAAATGTACACAGTGTGATACCTGAAGAAAATCACACCTGGAAGTGACCTGGAATGTTCATCAGTTTCTCCACAACCTCCTAGTTTGCAGCCTCTTTGACCCTAAACACTCCTTTTCCAGATGTTGGCTGATGAATCTGGAACACGAGGCTCAGAGGCCTGCGGGCTGCAGGCATTAAGGTGAGAATAGAGCGGAGATGTCCTCCTGGGTTACTGAAATGATGAATCACTGCAGTCACATAGTGCTTCCCGCAGATCACCTGAGAGCACAGCTACAGTGTAAGGAATGAGCCGCAATACATGAGCATCTGCTAGAAACTTATCCCTGGAAATATGCAGGAAACAAAGTGTTGGTGGATGGAGCACAGGACACGGCACCTGGAGAAAAAGTTGTAAAACAGACGGAGAGAGAAAGCTAAATATAAATCGAGGCGAGGCAGAGATATGGAGTATGTAAGGTGTCCATCTCCCCAAGTACTGGTGAATCTGCTGATAAATTAAACAATGTTTGGTCTATGAAATATCAAAAAAACAAGCAAAACATGAAAAGGTCACATAAATGATGCTCTTTTCTGTGTTTAATGGCTCCAATTTGTAGACCCATACGTTGCATTACTTGTATATTTTAAAGCGATCAAAACGACCTCTCGTGCTGTGATGAATGAAGGGCTGTACTTGAGAACTAAAGAGCAAAAATAACTACAACCTGACATTATTATAACCTCCATAAAAGGAGTATTTAAGTATTTAACATGGCTGCTTTACTAAACTGCAGGCTCTATATTTCAACTTCCAGATGTTTTCAATGAGTAGCAACATAAATTTTCATCAAAGCTTTAATATCCTAACAGTTCATCTGAGTTCAGGTCACCCTGATTTACTCTCAAACGTCCCTCAGACCAAACTAACCGCCATGCTGTGGACGCTTAGAAAGGGGCCTTTCAGCAGGTAGGGACGCATTTACCCAGAGTGCTCCGCTTTACGAGCGTGGTGGTCTTTCGCGGAACAGTTTTCTTTTTCACACCACCTGCCTAAAACATCAGACCACGGGGCTGCTTAAGTAAATACATTCAGACGCGCACAAACAGAGGTACATGATTTATTCCACAGCATCGACTCTTGCTTGGTCTGAATCCACCGCCTTGGAATCTGGATTATCTTTATCTCAATATCTGCCTTGTAAAAAAAAAAAAGCGCAGGCTCTTGCCAAGAGCGCTGGAAAAACATCTCGCATGCCAAACCACCAATATTGCAAATTCCTCCAACCAATGAAATTCCTTTAAATATGCATGGAGATAAGCACGAATAAGACATTAAGACGTCTAACTGCTGCTAAGGAGCCATTGAATAATCATGCACTTATCTAAATCAAATTTATCTTAATTGATTTATCCAAATGAATGCAAGCTGAAGTTTGTTTTAGCAGCTTGCTGTGAGTAAGGGTCTGTCAGTTTGGAGAGGAAATAGGAAATGGCGAGCAGGGCGGCCCCTTTTGCACGCAGGCGAAGGATAAACAGCTGCCATGTAAATTCTGTGTAAATGACGTCCCAAACAGAGCAGAACAGGTAGAGAAAACACCTCCCGAGAGCTAAAGCACACAGAAATATGACAACCCAATATTTACACCCAGCAAGCACAAGTTGAAAAGGTTTTTTTCATATCAACCAATCCCTTCTTTTTTCCAATCTGCAAGCCTTGAAGGAAGCAGATAGAAGCTGTAAACCAATGACTTTATACCATTTTCTCTGAATACAAGCATTCTCCTCTATTTTCAACAAAGTGCTTTGGGGAATTGGAGGACAAAGAGACAATAAAACAGTCTAGACAGGCAGTAAAAAGATGTATACGACTGTGTTTCCAACTGATGCCACCATTAGACGTCTGTCTTTGTTTGCACCGACATATAAACATGTTTTTTTCCCCATATTTTCTCAGGTAGTAAAATCTGATTCTTTCTTTGCTTCAACCAGGCCTACACCCAACACGCATGGGAAAAAGATATTTTCGGGGTTTTATTTGGGGCGGGAAATCAAATCAACAAACATAAAAGCAGAGGTCATAAATTTATATTTCTTCTTGACATGAAGCAATCTTTTCTTATCATCTTTTCTGTTATGGAAGCAAACAAACCGGCCTGCTTTCGTCCCGCCTGTCACGCAAGATTGGATTTTGATGACACTGATACTCCAGTTGTGTACTCCACATTCTCTCGCCTTTCACTCCCTCTGCCCTTCCCATTTCTTTCTCTTGGTCTGAACAACAGAAAGCGAAGAGGACTGAAGTCTTACTCTCGGAAAGGTGAAAAGGTCTCAGTTTCTACCAATGGCTCTTTGATGAAGTATCAAAAGCAAACTGGGTCAAAAAACAGATATGACTCTGGCTGTGCAGTAGAAACCTTCAACATCTTTGACTTTAAAAGGATGAAAGGAGCTATTCATTGTGAACTACATAATAACATTTGCTAAGTTTCCAAACTTTTTAGCTGACTCTGTGCTTCAGTGTGTATTTGGGGATCTTGGCTGCAGACAAGAGGACGACTGGGACTCTTTTTTACCTCAGCTGTGGTTTCATGTGTATATCCATCTGGTTTTAAACAAACATACGAGCAAATTACATGGGTAAATAAGGATGACGGTGTGTTTTGATAATGCTGACTAATCCATTTACCCTTTCAATGCTGTGTCCTGCTCCCATTATACCCTTTTTTCAACACATCAGAACAGATTGACTCACCCACAGCCACCTACTGCATTCACTGTCAGGCCTGTGACGAGACAATCAGCTGGATCTAGATCAGTACATCTATGAGGTAACCAGGAAAATATGTTGTGGACTGCAGTAAGAAAAGCACATACTACTTACTATATAGTGCACTATATAGTAGGGCCCGAGTTGCCCGACCGATGTGGGACTTTGGGGGCCGATACCGATATCAATATTGGGGAGACAAAAAATCTGATACCGATATATCAGCAGATGTCAGAGCCATCTTTGATCTGTGAAGATAGACAGATATAGATATACACATTTAATGCGTCGATCGCTCAATAGCAGTTATCAAATCACTTGTGGAAAAGATAAACAGTGTGACGGAGACAAGATGGTCAATCAACTGGAGAGTAACTGTGCATGTATGTTCATCAACGCTTGATGCTCTGGAGAGTGTACTCTCCTGTATAGTGTGCAAGAGAAAGCTCTGTTCAGGACTGCTAAAGTTTTACTGTATTAGAATATGTGGTAGATAGATAGATGGATGGATGGATAGACTTTATTTGGCATGGACATCACAGATACATTGGACGAACCAGATGCATTGTTTAAGTGTTTTAGCATACACGCTAGTTCTCAACACCTGTCCACAGGGGGGCTTTCTCAAGAACCACCATTAAAGATAGGAAGAAAAGCAATAAGACATTGGGAAACAATAAAGAGACATGCTAGTCTTTCAGAGTTTTAGCTAACAATAGCAGCTTTGTTCTTCCCTTTCTTTAGCAAAACCTGCCACACATATTAGCATAGTTAGCTTTGGCCTACAATTAATTTGAACATCTACCAAAAGCCATTTGGTCTGAGAAAAGTTAAGACATCCTATTTAAAATTAGAAACAATTCCTTTGTCATTTCAGATACCATGTATTCTTGAAGGGATCCTGTTTTTAAACAGTATGCTGGAGCTCATTAGGTTAGGTTGCTGAGTTATGCTGGATAGAAATGGATCTGATCTACTGCTACGTGATGTGAGGTAAACAGGAGAAACTAAAACCACATCAACAGTCAGGGATCAGAACAAGCATTTGCTAATAAGATAAAGATCCTGAACAAAGACTTTTCATGAAAGTCAGTCTATAAAAAGGTGTTTTAAGAAGCAGATTGAAAGAGAATACTATGTAGCTATGTAGCCAATCAGACGATGATCCTCAGATAGTAATTGTTGATTTTGTTGGCAGCTGCGATTTTAGCCACGATGGCTAAGAAAGGAAAGAAGAGGGAGGAAAATGGTGAAGAGCGCGTCTATTTTTCGTAATAAATTTAGATTCGAGAACACAGTGTGCAAACCATAGACTGTAAATATAATGGACGAAGTCTGAGTGACGTCACCCATCTGCTTCTGCTGGAGGCTCATCGGCAGCAGCAGCAGCTGGAAATCCTGTCTCAGCCTAAGTTTCAGTCAACCTAACAACAGGCTAAGAGCTGGAGCTGAGGCGGGTTTTAAGCCTCCTGACGAACCGTTACAACATGCCCACCTGTCAATCAGGTCAGCTGCGCACTTAACTATGTCTAAAACGTATCAGTTATAGAATCAAAAGGGAGCAGTTTATTAAACAATTCACCCTCCATAACTTATCAAACTGATATTGGAGGGATTAATGTCTTTTTTTTGTACCAGGCTGTAAACATGTCAATTACTGCTGTAAAAACAGTTATTTTGAATGGGGTGTGTATGTGACTTTGGGGGCTCTTGGAGCCAGTATCAAGCAGACCCTCAAAAAACTGTCCTCATTGTCTTCATTTCATCATCTCTCAACATTTGAGGTTGCCGCTTGGTACAAACATGCCCAACAGCAAGAGACACATCAACTGTAATATCACAGAGACATTAGCTAAACTTATATCATTTTTTATATAGTGACCATATCATGACAGAAATCCGTCCTTAGACCCTCCAGGTATCTTTGACCACTTTCTGTCTTAAAACAGTTAATCCTTGTTTTAAAAATGACGTCTCCATTTCAGCACTGCGAGGGTGCCGTGCCAGACCAGAAAGCTTCACAGTCTTAACAGTAACTAAACGGGCTTAGCACCGGGTCATTTAGCCATGTTTTCCAACCACACAAAAGGGACCTCGAATCCGGTGTTCTACCCCGTCAGTGGGATGTGTTTGCTGGTCATCTGACTCTATTGTCAACACAGACAGACAGACCCTCACATTTCCCACAAAGTGGATTTCCACTCAATTGTAAAACTTTGCTTGATGAACTGCCTCACGGCTCCCTCAAGTGCTGAAAAAAAAAAAAAAAAAACATTTGGGAATCAAACGAAGAAAACCCAGAGTGAGAAAAGCATTAAAACACCCATTAGAGAGGAGCTGTTAGACGAGATGAAAAAGAGAGCTGGAAATAGACGCTGAGTTGCTGCCCAGCACTGGCACAGGACTCTGAACAGTTTTCCACATTCATCAAAAGTGAGTCTGTTGTACTCACAGCATGCTGTAGGCAATTAGAGAGATACTTGTGTGTGACCATTGCCACGATTAAACCCATCCACCCTTGACAGAGGCCCAAACACAACACAGAGTCTCTCCTGCAGGGGGAATGACAAAAAAACTTTTCGGCTACCCTGTGAGCTTATTCAAACAAGAGCTAGATTTGGCAGCATCATGAGGAGGTTTAATAAATTGTTCCCGGCAACAACAAAGACTCAGGAACAGTTAGAAATGTGTCCAAATAGTTTATCCCATTAGGCCCACATTATTCTAAAGCCAAGAAGCAAACAGGCAGTGATTAATATTTATTACTTGCTTTTGTGTCCAAAGGGGACAGTATCTTTTTTTCCTGTGGTATTTTTTTTTTAATTAAAGCCCCTCTATAGCTGATGTGCAAATTACAATTTAAAAGCCATGGCATTGCATTGAGCCCCTCTAGAAGATGAGCACTCGTATACTGTTGGTGTAAACTCATTTTATATAAAGGAACAACAGAGTTTGTTGCTGCTGACGAAGGCTACAGTGAGGATGCAGTGAACCATAGTTGAAATATGATCACTTGCTCTCACCCAAAACTTTCCAAAAAGGCAGGACGGTAACCGGACTCATGACATCTGATCAGCTGAGACACTACAACAGACCGGTTTAGAAGGATTAGAAGTCCACCGAATGGACAAGGCACTATGAAATATTACACCAAAAAAAAAAAAAAATCCTGCACAGATGTCAGAAAGTTGCTCAAACTCAGAAAATCTCGAGACCACAACAAACCAAATGATGAACAACAGTGTCGAGGAGAGAATACCTTCTATAAGCGGTCTCTACTCACAGACTGCTAACATACCCTGCGATCCCCAAAAGTCAACATTTACACACCGATTTATCTGGTTGAGCCTGAGCTGAGGCAGCCAGCAGGTGAAACAGAGTTAGAAGAAGAAAAAACAGAAGCTTCAGTTTTCTTTACAGCACTCACAAACAAACCCTTGTATCAACATCACGAGAAAGCTTCTCCTGGTGTGTACTCACAGTGCTGCCTCTGGGCATGTTGAGGAAACAACAAACATGTTTATGTTCTGGAGTTTTTTTTGTTTTTTTTTTCCATGAATGAGCCATGAACGCCAGAGAGCTTCCACCTTGGTATTAAAATGGGAAATAAAAGTTGTAAGCAGTGTGAGTGCTGCTCTTACCTCAGGTGCTTTGAGTTGCTCTTCTTCTTTAAATGATGCTGTATCTGCAATTTTGCTCTGCTTGTCACAAGTTGCTCTCAAATCTCCCTAATTCAGGCAACAAACACAGAAGTATGCCAAGTTTATCAGGTGCTCAAGAAACGTACTTTTGCACTACATGCACACATGCAATACACCACATCGCTCACCTTGCAGTAGCCCGTGACCTGCTCTGCTATGCTGTTGATGTGCAGCATGTACTGGTGCAGTCTCCGCTGGTACTGGAGAGCAGCGAGCTGGGCCTCGTTCTGTAGGTTTGACACCTGGGCTAGCAGGTACTGCTCCCTGCGGTTCCACCTCAGCCTCGCCATCCGGGCTTCGTGCTCCAAAGTGGCGCTTCTTTCCTCCAGGGTGTCGGTGGCTGTGCGCAGAGCGTCCACACAGCAGTGCTCCTCCCCGGTCAGCCGAAGCCCGCATCCTCCCCGACAAACACCTCCACCGCCGTGACCCAGCTCCGGCTTTGTTTGCGACTCCATCCCGCCTGGCTCTGAGTTCGACTTTTTATCTTTGCCCGAAGTTGGGCAGTCAGCGCGCATAACTTCCAGCTTCCCGACGCAGTAGCCCACGATGAGTTAGGACAAAGTTATTGTACAAGTCTGGACACATGAGAGAGTGTGAGCGAAAGTTTGACCGGTCTGCGCAGCTCCTGCTGAGCAGAGGGGCTGCACCGAATCTCGCTCCGCATGAGATGAGGTGTAGCTCTGTGTCTCAGCAGAAAACTTGACCCTGCTGACTCCCTTTGAGCTTCGTCAGCTCCGAGTCAACGTATTTCTTCAGATTGGAGAAAAAAAAACACAATTTGTTTTTTTATTAAAATGAAAGGTAAAGTGTTCCCATTGTCACAGTCTGGTTGCCTTTTTTGGAGCGCTTCTATTGAGTTTGGAGCAGATTTAGTTGCCGTTAACCTAACGTGTGTGATTCTTCCTCAGCAGCAGAGGGCGCTTGTCATCTCACACTTTGAGATAGTTGACTGGAAACAAAACTCCTGAAGAGGTCAAAAGGTTCCAGCAGCACTCCCAAGTATGAATATTGATTTTATTAACTTTATTAGACCGACATGTTTCGATTTGTGGTCAAACTGTTGAACTTGTGGAAAAGTGTGGTGTGTATATATCTTTTTTTCATATCTAGTTTAATGTAGATTTATGGTCCATAAAGTTGTTTTTAATGACAGCACATATTAAGACCAATCTAGTACAAGAGTGGAAAATGGAACTTTTATGCCCAATATTGAAACAATATTAAAATCATCGTCCATATACATTTTTTTAAATGTATAAATGATTTAATTCCATTTAGTCCACCTTTGGTTCAGGTTCTGCAGTAGATACATGTCAGTGCGACCTGTCTCAAAGGCCCGATGGTCCTTCAGCTCCTAAACCCCAGCTTGTAACATAATATCTGCATTGAGACGTTCACTAATAAAGCTTTCCTGCTTGAGTCCAGACTGGGTTCAGTGCCTGACACAGCATGACATATTGCAGGCACTCAGTGCAGGGTGTTATGTTTCAGTTCTTCAAGCAGAGCGGTCTGGTTCTAGTCTGCCCTGCACCACTTACAACTGCGTTTTGTGTTGTCTGAGCTGTCAGAGAACAGGTGTAGGTTTACAAAGACAATAGCACAATCTGTCCTGGGACAGCACACCTGTCTGCAAAAACACATTCACGAGGAGGTACGGAGAATGTTTTTTCAACGTCCTGTCAATCTCTGTAAATGAAATAGTAGCGATTCGATTACTTTATAATGTGATCTTATATTAAATGTTTTAGATGAGCTGTCACAATGAGTGTGTGTTTTGGAAGAGTGTTGCAGTCACCTGAGCTACGATCAGACCTATCAGGCGGGCCATGTGTGTGGACGGATAAGCGCCTGAAAAAAAGTTATCTCTGTCTTTTATTCTCCCCGTGAGCTGATTTCCATGAGCCATTAAGGCCCTCGATAAAAACGAAGAGACGGCCTGCAGCTCTCTAAGAAATCTAAAGTCTGATTGATTTGGTCTGACCTAATCCATGAAGAGAGGCGATATCAATCTGCTTTTCATCTGCAGGATACCTGATAGGAGACTTAAATCCAACAGCTGTTTGTGCTTGAAAAACTAGACAATGACACAGTTGGCCTTATCTGTAATGGAGTACAGATTGAAACACTATCACTGATATATCTGGTGCTGGTAAAGAATGGCTTTCACCTGAAGACAGACATGATTAAAAAGGGGAGGGGGATACACACACACACATTAAAGCTTTGTTGCACAAACTCAATTGATAATACGATTCAATCTCACTGCGGTTCTTCTTCATGGCAAAGATACAGTCTTGTATAAAATAGGTTATTACCAAGGCAGGAATGATCAAGGGGTTTTTCTCCCAAACAGAGCTTATAAATTCTCTGAACTTTTATTTAAATCCACATCAGGAGTGTCGGTGCTTTGACACATCTAACAGCAAGGTTTGAAATCACTGGGGACCTCCAGTATGACAAACCCTGGTAAAGATCCTGTCATCTTTCTTTCTTGTGTGTGTGTGTGTTTAAATTGTGGGCATTAACTTTCATGGATGGACTTCCACTCCTGCCACAGCGTCAGTATTTCAGACTGGCAGTCCAGTCAGCATCAGTTCATGATTTATTTAGCAGTGACCTCAGGCTGACTTCAAGTGTGATTTAACTTTAGAATGAGACGTTGTCTGGCATAGATCCTTTTCTTGAAACACATACATCCACAGCCCTTATTCAGTTTCTAATAAAACATAGTGTTACTATGAAAAAGATTTTCGATCTCCTGATAGAGGTCATGTGTTCCTTTTGAATGTCTATATCTAAGGTGATTTTATCCTAATGCCATAGCAAAGGGTACCATCTTGTGTTGCATACTTTATTTGAAACGTTATGGAATTGTCGACTGGTAAGATCTTAGGCGTCAACCCCCTCAGATTTTTAAAAATCTGACAGGATTTTTCTCATATTTTAGTATAAAAAAAACAATTATTTTTGTATAATATTTAGTAATGATAAATCATATGACAAGTTTAGAAGAGATCACTAGTTTTGTTATAGATTTTAAGAAATCAGAACTGTGAGACCTTGTATAGTGGTAGTATAGTCGTATTAGTGCAGAATTATATTTTTTATTTCAGCTCAAAAGTTCACTTTATCTAGTGACCAGTCGTTAATTTGTAAAATCCCAGAGACCTGCCTACTTTTTATTTCATGTTAAACCATTTTTTCTAAGAAGTTTGCAGTTTGATTGCCTGACCCTGACTGACCCCAGAACTCTGCCTTTACTTTTCTTAGATGAAGAGTCAGTTCATAGAGGCACTTACACTTAGCGTAGTGTTGGGTATTCCTAAAGATGCGTAGTCAATGCAAAACAACAGAAACACCAGCTCACTTTAATAGTTAACTACACTTTTATTGTTCCTTGTCCAGCCAATGAGAGTTTCAAGTTTCATCCCTCACAAAATGCCGTTCAAGTCCAGCGTAGCACTGAACTTCAGTTAACAGCCAAACATGCCGCCTCTGCCACCAGTGATGCTATCATATCCAAAAACCATCATGTGAGAGGACCGCAGGACCATTTCTGAACTTCTATGAGTGAGATTCCTTTTTGTCAGTTTGAGGTTTTCTCTCTAGAAAAACATCACCTCCCCCGAGGCTCCACATGACATGACTGGCTAAATGAAGCTTAGCAGCTAATGTACATATTAGGCTTACATCTACATACTCTCTGACGTAAAGGGATGTCACTCAGGAATGGAATGTATTTCATGTGAAGCTGAGAGAGGTTGCTATGATGTTGATTTGTTGCAAAGTAATGTACCATTTCATCTCCGATGTCATGCATGTTAAATGTAGAGCTGCTGCGTCGTCCAAAATGTCAAGGTTCAAGGCATTCATGCATTTGGCAACTCTTTTTCTTTTATGATTCGTCGCATGAAGGATAACGGGGGGAAAGCACTTTGTGGTGGATGTTGATATAGTCACAATGTAGAAGCATGGCAAGCATCACATGAGAAATGAACGGGAGGAGATCAAAACACAGCAACGGTTCCTCCATATGAGAGAAATCAACTTTAAACTGTCCAGCTAGAGAAGGGACATGACATACAAATATAATAAAAATGAAGAAAAAAAAAAGAACAACAACAGTTGAAAATGTTTATATAATATCTCTGATCAAATGTTAATAAAAAGACAAAAAGAACAAAGTGGAGCTCTTGAAAAAGCTCTCACCACTGACATGGATGGCTTCATTTATGCTTCTGTTTATATAAGAAAAAATTAAAAAAATTAAAAACAGACTAGATCACTGTTAAAGGAGCTAGACAAGTTGTCTTATTAGAAAATATGAAGTAGCAACAGATGAGTCAAACATTGCACAATTATTGGAGGGCATGAGCGTCACTACCGTTCACTGAGACTGTTAATAGTGACTCTCACACAAAGCCATAATGAAGAAATGAAAAGGTTTTGTTTTTTTACACAAAATAAAATGTCAACATTCTTTACAAAGCACCAGCTGGTACCACAGAGGTCCTAATGATACAGTCAAAACAAAAGTTATCTTTTTTTTAGTCAAAGTTTACGTTCAGGTTTCACGCTCGATATCGACCAGAGGTTTGAGGCGAATACTTGATCACTGCACAGTGCACGATTATAACAAAGCAATCCAAAGAACCATTATTCCACTGTTTTTTTTTTGCAGCAGTTTTGCATTTGAAAACTGCACGTTTGATATGTTGTTCCGTTTACCTCCCTTTACATTCAGCTTTGCAGACGTGGATCCATGTAACTTTACCTTTTTGAACCATTTCTAACTTTTCTTCCTCGTTACAAAGTCAACATGCACACACTTCTGGAAGTGGTATTCTATGAAAAGCGCTCATGTTTTGATTTTGAAATAAGCATTGATTGCAGGTCTTAACATTTTCTTCAAATAACATCCATAATATATATATTAGATAGGAAACCGTATCAGTTATTTCATATATTATTTCAGCATGACATAATTTTCCCCCTCCCTCTTTTACATGTTGTTAAAATCAAGGACTAGATTTGCTTTGACTGTATCTCTGTAACAAAGGTTGTGCTTCATTTTAAAAAGAAAAGAGAAGAAAAATGCCACTGAACTGCAAGTAAAGAAAGACAAAGACGTTTTTATAAACGAGTACACTTATCCTTTACAGCTACTTGTTCACCTTGTACTCTGGAATACACTGAAATATCACGGGTCAAATGAAGCCCACATTTCCAGAGGGAAAAGAGTCGGCTTCATGGTGTGAAAAGACTCAAATCGATGCAAAGTGTAATACTTTCAGTCATGATCCATTTTCAGACAAGTTATTGTGAAAGATAAGTGCAGTCATTTACATAAGGCATATTTAAAAAGTTGACAGAACTCCTTTGACACTCCTCCAAAGAGGCTTTTTTTTGTGGATAAATAAGGGATGTCTTTGTCCATTTCAAATTTTTTCCATTTCCACAAAAATATTCCAGACGAGGGGGAAATAGTTGGAATATGACGTCCCGGGTTTATAGGGCGGAACCAGAAATTTGTGGAAAGAGTCCCAAAGTCCTCATAGGCGTCAACCATAGAGTTTCCTTCACTGTATGTGAAGACGAAGATGGCACTACATTCAGAGGTTCAGGCAGAGGAGAGCTACCAGGAGCAGGGAGAGTACGCTGTGAGACCAGGCGACCATGACACCTCCACCTGA